CAGTAGGTTCATACGCCCTACCGTATAGCCATAGGGCCTGCGGGATGGGAGAAGCCACCCCTTAAGTGGCCTCTACCCCTTAAGTGGCCAGTAGGCTCATACGCCCTACCGTATAGCCACAGGACCTGCCTAGGACCTCTTGGCGGTCAAATTTGACCGCCTGGCCACTTGAGGGATAGGTGTACCTCGCTCATCAGAAACGCCCCCCCTCCTAGGATCACCATAGGGCCCTACGCATAGGCCTACTGTAGGGACCTGGGTGGGGGCGGTTTCTTATGAGCGAGGTACCCCTGTACATGTGCATGTCGATATTCCCTCTGAATCCTGGGCCACACGAGGGAATACAGGGGTACCTTTCAGAGGGAATACAGGGAATACAGGGGTACCTCGAATACAGGGGTACCTCGCTGTATTCCCTCTGAATCCTGGGGCACACACCACACGGTGGGCTTCGCAGATCGGTCCATCCGTTTCGTGGTACCAAGTTACAATTGCTCGGTACAAAGGCATCTTATTAACGGACACTTCGACCAGATTTCTGGTCAAAATCGCCTTAGAAACCGTGTGGTGGCCAAGGGCCCCCTCACGGGGGCGGTGTTCTTGCGAGGGTTCAGGGTTTAGGGTTTAGGGTTTAGGGTTTAGGGTTTAGGGTTTAGGGTTTAGGGTTTAGGATTTCAGAGTTTAGGGGTTAGGGTTCAGGGTTTACAATTTCAGGGTTTGGGGTTTATGGTTTATGGTTTATGGTTTATGGTTGTTGGTTTAGGGTTCAGGGTTCAGGGTTCAGGGTTCAGGGTTCAGGTTTCAGGGTTTAGGGTTGCATACCAAGCAAACCAAACGCCCGGCCACGTTTCAGGGTTTATTGTTTATTATTTATTATTTATTGTTGACGGTTTATGGTTTATGGTACATGGTTTATAGTTTATGGTTTATAGTTTATAGTTTATAGTTTATGGTTGATGGTGTATTTATGGTTTATGATTTATGGTTTATGTTTTAAGGTTCGTGGTCTATGTTTTATGTTTCATGGTTTATGGTTTATGGTTTATGGTTTATGGTTTATGGTTTATGGTTTACGGTTTTGGGCGTAAGGTTTCTGTGATCAGGTTTCAAGGTTTAAATTTTAGGGTTTAGGGTTTAGAGTTTAGGGTTCAGGGTTTAGGGTTTAAAGTTTAGGGGGTTGAGGGTTGCATACCAAGCAAACCAAACGCCCGGCCACGTTCCAAGGTTTATGGTTTATGTTTTATGGTTTATGGTTTATGGTTTATAGTTGAAGGTTTATATTTTATGGCTTACGGTTTTGGGCTAGGGTTCCTGTGTTTAGGTTTCAAGGTTTAGATTTTAGGGTTTAGGATTTAGGGTTTAGGGTTTAGGGTTCAGGGTTTAGGGTTTACGGTTATAGAGTTGAGGGTTGAGTGTTCAGGGTTTAGGGTTTAGGGTTGCATACCAAGCAAAAGAAACGCCGGGCCACGTTTCAGGGTTTGGGGTTTGGGGTTTAGGGTTTGGGGTTTGGGGTTTGGGGTTTGGGGTTTAGGGTTTAGGGTTTAGGGTTTAGGGTTTAGGGTTTAGGGTTGTGGGTTGTGGGTTGTGAGTTAAGGGTTGTGGGTTGCATACCAAGCAGTCGTCTCGAGCCTTGCCAGCCAGGACCTTCCCACGGTTCAGGGTTCACGGTTGACGGTTCATGGTTTAGGGCTTGGGAATTGGGGTTTAGGGTTTAGGGTTTGCCCCACAACCCGCACGCTGGGAGGGGCAGGACAGTCAGCGCAGCCTTTTTAGGGTTCAGGGTTCAGAGTTTCGGGTTCGAGGTTCAGGGTTCAAGGTTGGCTCCCAGCGGGCCGGCCCGCGCAAGTTGGGCTTATCCGGGGAAACCTATTTTTCTTTAGTTTGATGGCAAGGAAAATTACTACACAATTCGTTCTTATTAGTAATATTAAAGTATTTGTGTAGTAATTTTCCTTGCCATCAAACTAAAGAAAAATAGGTTTCCCCGGATAAGGGCGCTGTGCGTGACGCAGCGTGCCACGTGCGCTGGCACTGCACGCTGCTCCGCAACACCAAGGACACGGTGCGTCTTTATCTCAGAAAACGAGTTCTAAAACTCGTTTTCTTAAGTCAATTCCCCTACAAATTCGTCAACTTATTCTTTACTCTCCGCATAAGTTGACAAAATTGTAGAGGAATTGACTTAAGAAAACGAGTTTTAGAACTCGTTTTCTGAGATAAGTCTGTGGGTATCCGGTAAATGTCTCGCCGCTGGCGCAAAGTGCTGGGGGGAGGCGCAAAGTGCTGGGGGGAGCCGTGGGCAAGGACCCTCTCATTGTTCAGGGTTCAGGGCCAGGGCTCATTGTTCAGGGTCTAGGATCTGTTTTAGGATTTAGGCTTCAGGGTTCAGGTCTTAGGGTTTAGGGTTTAGGGTCTAGGGTTTAGGAGTGTGCTGGGGGGAGCCGTGGATCCGGGGCGTGCCACAGAGAAGGCTGGGGAGCCCTAAAATGAGCAGAGCAGAGAGAGACAGCGTGTGAGGCGAAGGCTGTGACATGGCTGCACCCGGAGACGGGACCCGCAGGAACGCGCGGGCCGAGCGCTGTGGTACGATGGGAACCCAGGAACCCAGCTCTACCTAGAGGGAACCCAGCTCTGCCTATAAGGAATCCAGGAACCCAGCTCTACCCAGCTCTACCTAGAGGAACCCAAGAACCCAACTCTATCTAGAGGAACCCAGGAACCCAGCTCTACCTAGAGGGAACCCAGCTTTGCCTAGAGCTGATTTCCTCTACCGGGACATCAGCTCTACAAGGTACACACACTCCCGTTGTCCTCCGGGCCTGCAGCCTCTCCCCTCCCCCTCCCCGTCTCCCCTCCCCCTCCCCGTCTATTCCCTCTGAATGCTGGGTCACGCGTGGCCGTGTGTAGGGTGCAGGGTGTAGGGTGCAGGGTGTGGGGTGTAGGGGTTACCAGGTGGGCCCGCTCGCTGGGCCCCGCAGCGGCCCGCTTGAACCGAGTTCCTGCGTGCCACCAAACAGTTAGAGGGCTGGCGTTTTGTTTCGAGCGTTGGCAGCCACGACCTTCTCAGGGTTTAGGGTTCAGGGTTACGTTTCAGGGTTCAGGGCTGGGGAGAGCCGTGGGCCGGGTCGCCCTGGAGAAAATATTCCCATGGGCCTGCATGTGCCATGGGTCCTTACAGGGGGAAGGGGTTGGGATCACACGCCTCAGCGCTCCCCGTCTCGCGGGCGCAGTCACAGCCTCGACTCTCCAGGCCCGCCTTGCCAAATGGCCCTGAGGGCCCTCCGACTGTCTGAGTACCGAGGACTCTGCTGTCGGGGCTCGAGGTTCTGCTCTTGGGGCCCGCCAGAGACGCCAAAGGGTCCACGGACGCGGAGCGCCCGATCACCCACACTGTCGGGTCTGCTGGGGCCCGGAGAGGAGGGCGGATGCATGCATTGTCTCCTTGGGGGCCGCGGGCCCACCAGGGGTCCAGACCCACGGGTGGTCCCCGCTTGCGGATTCCGCGCCCGGGGACTCACATGTCGGGTCTGTTGGGCCCCAACTGAGTGGAGGGGCGGCGGATCCGCGTCGTACTGCAGAGGTCAGGGAGGGGGTGGATCCTCGCCGGATTGAGGTCCTCGGATTTTTTTGGACGTCTTTTTTTGGTCGGAGATTTCGAGGCTCAAATCTCGATTCTAGCTTTTTGGCTTTTAGGTGGGCGGTGGAGCCATTTCGTTCAATTTTCACCGTCCACCCATGAAAACAGCTCTCATCACATCCTCCATCAGATCCACTTCGGAACGCTCCGAAGTCACGTCCCTTCCTCATCAATATTCCCACGTGGAGGGACGTGCCCGAGACCTAGTTTAAAAAGACAGTGAGGCGGCTCATCTGAGTCGGCCCAGTGCCGTTTTTCCACAGCCCTCGTAGCAAAGTGGTCAATGCGTCCGCCTTGTAAGCGGAAGGTCGTCGGTTCGAATCCGATCGTGGGCAGGAAAAGCTGGGAGATTTTTTTGCTCTTTTTCGTCAGCAGGGCTCATAACCTGAATTCTCAGCGAGTCGTATCTACGAGAATGAGATCAGTCGTATACGTAGTATCACGACTTGTATGTTGGCTGGACGAGTCGTATACGAGAGTCCTTCCAGGTGAGGGAGGCTCCCAACCTGTACGAGCGCAGTTCATGACGATTTTGTAAAGCACCAAAGCACCACCCCTCCATACTTCAATAAGTGTCTTCAGCCATGGGATACCATGAGCCTCAGAACGGCTGACTTGGGTTTGGTGTGTGTGTGGGCGCGCTCCTATTTTGGAAGCAATCAAACACCCCAACAGAGCCACCCTGTATCCCCTCTTCACGAGCCTCTGCACTGGAGAGCGAAACGCGATCCGAAAGCAAAAGTGCTTTCTCTGCAGATCCCTTCTACGGAACGGCGTGTCGTTGGCGTATGTTTGGAGAAATTAAAACCTAAAGGACCTAAATGGATAGGTGGGGTATGAGCCTGCGAGGACACCGACATGTCGCATACGTGTAAGTTAGAGACGTGCTGTCGCGCAACTGTAGGTGGAGGCGAATCTCTACGAGTAGTTGTACTTAGGTACGAGACCGTAGACCCTACGAGGTCTACGGAGACGAGTCGGTCTCCAATGACTCTCCATGTGAGTCTCATTGTTAATTTGATACGGCGCGGAGTTGGAAAGGACGATTTTGGGTGAAGCACGGACGTGGAAATGACGAAAGGTTGCGTGTCCCAAGTTCTGGGCACACTCCTTTGTACCAGAGCCAATCTGGTAGGTCTTGGCCAAATGGAAGTTCGAACTTACAAAATGGGAACTTCTAGATGGACCGTAGTTATTAGTAAACAGCATGATTTGTAGTGCATAATTTGAATCGGAAACAGTAGCTGTCCGGAAGGGTGCATGTAATCAACAAAGGCGCTACCCAAACGCCGCTGCCCCCTACAGGGGTACCTCGCTCATAAGAAACCACCGCCCCCTAGGAGCCTACAGTAGGCCTATGCCTAGGGCCCTATGGTGGTCCTAGAGGGTGGGCGGTTTCTTATGAGCGAGGTACCCCTGTACGCTGAGTCCTAGGAGCTTCTGCTCTACAGGGGTACCTCGCTCATACCCCCCCCCCCCCCCCCC